ATAAAAAGTTCTGTGACTATCAAAAGATGTGTCCAAACATCAACGTGAAAGTACAATATTTAGATAGTATTTGTTTTTGGCTTGGTGCAGTGGCACATGCCTGTAGTTCCAGCTACTTGGGGGCAGGGGCTGGGTGAAAGGAACCCTTGAGCCCAGGAGTCAGAGTCCAGCCTGGGCAACATAGTGAGACCCCATTTCTAAATAAAAATATTTTTTAAAAAACAACAAAAGACAGAAAATGCCTTTAAAACACAAGTTAATGAAACTAAACGAAAGAAATTTAAGGTTTATTTTACTTTCATTTGAATAAGAAAGGCAGCATACAGTCATATAAACAATGTATTATGGTAAAAATCATTGTAGATGGAATTCAAATGACAACAGCACTCTGTCTTCAAGTATGAAGACATTAATTCAAATACGAAGATATTAAGTAAATGAATACATACCACTCACAGGGCTGAAGGGATCGAAATGCCTTAAAAGAAGCATCCATTCCAGCAAAATCCCAAAACTTAACATCATAGTCATATCCTCCAGTCACCAAACGGGCACCTGAGGGATCCAGACCCAAAGCAGACACCTGGTATTTAAAAAAAAAAAAAATCAAGCAAAACAACATATAGTCTATTATAACTCCTATTTCCATTCTCTAACTCTGCCCCCTATTTTAGAGGCACTGGAAAGACAGTCCACTAACTGTTGTTACTTCTGAAAAGTGGGGATGGGCAGTGTTTTCTATATTGTCTGACTTTGTTATTATGAGTATTATTTCTTTTGAAATAAAGAAAAGAAAAATATTTTAAATTTAATCTAATTGACAGCTTTGTCCCAACTCATTAGACATGTATTCAAAAGAGCTATCACTGCAGTTCCATATGCTAAATTAAATCTCACAAATAATTCAGCTTTTTTCAATATGCAATTTTGAGGAAACCTCTCAAGATAGTTTAACTACAACTGAATGAAGAGCACAGGAATCTAAAATTACCAAAACAAGTAATGCTACTGGCAGCTTTAAGAAATCTATTTAACAAAGTAGGACAAAGTATAAATTATTATATGGTGCATATAGCCAAAGGACTCAGTATATTCCCCTTAAACAATTATTTTTAAAGCTGAATTTATAAGTGACTAATCACATTACAATAGTACTCATTTAGTTCCACAAGATATTTGCTTTCGCTGTGAACTTTCCTAGGTCCAACTCATATGTGAATACCCAATGTATAACTCATTGTTCTTGAACTATAGTCAACATCCTGTCAAAGCAGGAAGTCCTTGGATACTGCCCTCTCAGAAGGAAAGAACTGCAATGGGAATATTTAATGTGACTACCATATATATGACACAGTAAAAAGATCAAAATTTTATATAAAGGAAACTTCCATAAACCAGTTCTAATAGACTTGAAATGTAATTAATGTAATTATTATAATTACATTATAATACTGACAAAATAGATACTGACAAAATAATTTAGACTCATTTCAATTGCCATCTGCAAACACT